GTCAGAGTAATTGTATTTTTATAAAATGTACCATGTTGCAACAGTGGTTTCTGGTCTTTGTTTTACCTTGTGCTTTTCAGAATCATAATTTTTGTTTTGCTCTACATCTGAGGCTATGGTGCAAAGTCCCTGGTTATCTATGCATTTATTTTTAATTACTATTCAAACAAGGGTTCTAAAATCAAAATATTGGAAAGTCAGAGGTAACAACATTTCAGAACACAACAGTGTGACAGCAAGATATACCTCTATCAATCTTGTGACATGTGGTTGTATACTACACCAATTATTGGGATTAGTAATGTTGGAAATGTGTATTTATAATTAAACTGTCCTCTGTTCATATGTAATGTGATGGTGTTTCTGTAGCTACATAAAAAATATAAAATTAATCGAATGTAACATGTGTAATCTTGTTATTCGGTATGGATACATTACAATACAATCGTTAATAATCCCATATCAACATGTTCAGACCAGTTGTAAGGTGTAGAGTTGCCACAGGACGCGTCATCGGCCTGCGTCCGCAGCCGAGGACTGCTATAATAACATTAGCATTGTAGTTTCACAGGCAGAGTTGACTGCTTAAACTAAACTTTACACGAAACTTTGACTCTTAAAACCCACATGTGACAACGCGGAACCATCAACATCTCGCCTAAAATTGCATTAAAAGTGACATTCGTGTCTTATTTCGTTCGTATTATAACTTTTAAAGCAATTCTCGGACTTTCTGTCCGCCATCTTGGTTTGTTTCGGCTGCCGTGCAACGCGCATGCGCAGGTTTGCATTACATCATTAACAGCTGAGCATTACATAAGCGTCACAACTCGGCAGAGCGGCACAACTCGGCAGAACACCGGCTCTCTCTGTTTGAGAGCAGCGCTCACAAAGTTTTCCCCATAGTACTTGGATGGGAGACCGCCTGGGAATACCAGGTGCTGTAAGCATTTTGCCCCTGGAGCTCGGGCCTGGGGGCGAGCTCAACAACAGCGTGAGTTGTTGTCGTGTAGTTGAGTTGAGTGCAGCTTGCAGTTGTTTCCGTCTCTCACCACTCATCATTTCCCGTAGCATATCAAACAAAATAATGGAAGTTGTTTTAGTAGTGTTTGTTTCCACTGCATAGCAAAGAAATGGGTGAATATTTCATTTAGAATGTTTTGATTTTCCAATTTAATTGAGAAAATGGAAATACAATAAAACAACCATGTAATTTGTTTTTCTGATTTTGTTTTGAAACTGAATAACTACTGATCGAAGGGTACACGGATTCTTTATGCTTCAATATCAATGTGTTTGTTTTGGCTCTAGTTGTTTAAAACGCTCAAAAGAATCATGGCATTACTATTATTTCGTTTTATTATTATTTCCGACACCGGAAGAGGGAAGAGACCTCGCGGCAGAGTGCACGCATGCATGGACAAAGCAACGGAACAGGACATTTTACTTAGCTCAACTGTATTTTCCACAGAATCTTGCGCAGCCTTTATAATAGACGAGAGACAATACTGACAAGTCATGGATGAACGGTTGTAATGTAAATATGTAATTGTATCATGCGTGTGTATGAGTTTACTTAATGTTTAAATAAAAATATTGCTCATTTGTATTATTGTACCGGATTAATGTGAACCTTTAGAGCAGGGGTTCCCAAAGTTTTTAGCCCGCGACCCCCATCATAAATGCGCTGCTCCCCCGCGACCCCCCACCTCAACAGTCCTTCCCGTCAATGAGCATGTATTTCCTTGATACGGAGTAACGCAGAGACTCGCGCCACTGCTGAGCTGCACTGTCCAGCCCAAAAAAGGAGGCTTGCGTATTTTTACTCACGTAGCGACACAGTGATGGGCTCAGTGGGCTCCCTTCTTGAAGCGCATTTCTTGCAGCTCGCCCTCTCTGTTCTCGTACCGCGGTAAAGTGGCCCGGCTTTTCGGAGTCAGCGGTAAAGAGGTCCGCACATCAAAAGCGGCCGCTTTCTGCTGTTATTTTATGCGGTTCCTCCCCCGCGGCTTCTTTTTCCAAAGTTACTATAAGTAACAGCATAAACCGGTCCCCCGCTTTTAATGTGCGGACCTCTTTACCTTTGACTCCGAATAGCCGGGCCTCTTTACCGCGCTGTTCTACCGCTGCCCTCTCTCCCTCTCTTCGCACCATCAGCCTGACCTCACATGTGACTTTTCTCCCCCTCCGGGTTTTTCTGTTGTGGATATTAACCACGTTTCATTTTAAAGCAGGTATTATTTGTTTGAAGCCTCCAAACACCTTTAGTTTTAGCAAACAACAGCAGGACACGCTTTGTCGCTGCGTGACGTAAGCTGCGTAACTTGATTTTGATTGACGCTGCAATGACTGGACAAAATTACAAACGTAATTTAAATATTTTATATTCTCCTAACACAATTTAACAAGTAGTCCTTTTGAATCAAATCAAATGCTAAATCAATATTTAAGGGCTATTAATTAGCAAATTTTGTTATTTTTTTAATGTTTTAAAAAAAAAATTATAAATCATCTTGCGACCCCCCCCAGGGGTTCCCGCGACCCCCACTTTGGGAACCACTGCTTTAGAGGTTAGAGAAAAGATCAACTGTTTGCCATTGCACCTGGAGTTATGTTAAATCTTATGAATACGTATTGCCTCCATTTAGTAGACTTCGAAGGGAGACATTACACCCAGACTTATCTTAACATTTGGTCAATATGTAAAGATTCCAACCAGCATACATTTGTGAGAGGAAACAAATAAAACAAGTTACAAAAAACATTAATGGAATGAATGCATTTGAAGAAGGCAAGTTTAGGCAACGTGTATATTGGCTTCAACTGAAACAGAACTCTGTACAACCTGAGCACAACCTATAGGACCTGACTTTAGCTGTATCTTTGAGTAACATTTTTAATAAACAATAAATCTAACAACTGGGGTGTCAAACTCATTCCTAAAGAGCCGCTGTGGCAGCAGGTTTCTATCTGTCCTGTTTCGTTGCTTTTGAGAATAAAAATGTAAATAAAATGATTAAAGGAGATAAAAAGGCGAAGCAAGCGCGGAGCAGAGAGGCACACGTCTGCTCTCTTCAAAAGCTGGGAAGCAAAGTACAGTTTCTACATAAACTGAAGGTACATTCATATTACAAAACCATGGATATTTCCCACAATTAACTTTTCCCACTATGGAGTTATCCTCTGCACCTGTAGACTACAGAGAAAATAATTCATACATTTTCGAACTAGTAAAAATACGATGGCGTCATGAATTACATCAGACGCAGACCTACGTGCAAGACGCTCAAAACAGAAAGCACGAGCAGCGTTCGGGTGGCTGGATTGAAAACATTTCTGGCTCCAAGAGACATGGACAGGGCAGGTCTGAGGGACAGGGCAGGTGTGAGGGACATGGACAGGGCAGGTCTGAGGGACAAGGACAGGGCAGGTCTGAGGGACAGGGCAGGTGTGAGGGACATGGACAGGGCAGGTCTGAGGGACAGGGCAGGTCTGAGGGACAGGGCAGGTGTGAGGGACAGGGCAGGTCTGAGGGACAGGGACAGGGCAGGTGTGAGGGACATGGACAGGGCAGGTCTGAGGGACAGGGCCTGGGCAGGTCGGAGGGACAGGGCAGGTGTGAGGGACAGGGACAGGGCAGGTCTGAGGGACAGGGCAGGTCTGAGGGACAGGGACAGGGCAGGTCTGAGGGACAGGGACCGGGCAGGTCTGAGGGACAGGGACAGGGCAGGTCTGAGGGACAGGGCAGGTGTGAGGGACATGGACAGGGCAGGTGTGAGGGACATGGACAGGGCAGGTCTGAGGGACAGGGCAGGTCTGAGGGACAGGGCAGGTGTGAGGGACAGGGCAGGTCTGAGGGACAGGGACAGGGCAGGTCTGAGGGACAGGGCAGGTCTGAGGGACAGGGCAGGTCTGAGGGACAGGGCAGGTGTGAGGGACAGGGCAGGTCTGAGGGACAGGGCAGGAAAAAAAAACTTTTTCGTTTTGTTCTGGAACATAATGTGCACTCGACGTGCGCATTTTTACCTTTAACCTCAAGGGGTTTAAATAGTGCCAATATTTCCATCTAGAAAAGACTGTTTTGCTGAAGTCCTGTTCACTCTTCATCTCTCTGTGCTGTAAGCACTAAACACCAACACGCTCCACTGTGAACGTGGAAACACCGGTGAAGCACTGACTTCAGCCCAATCAGATGAACATATATATCATATACATCAACTGGACAGTTTGTTTGGCTACAGCAGAATATGTTTCATGCCTGCATTGTTTGTTCATACAAAACGCAAAACTACTAACTTACCTTATAAATGACCTGCACAGTCCACTTCAGTTCAGACCAGTTCCGTGTTTAAGTCCAGATAATAGTTTGAGCGTAGATATGTAATCCTCCATTTGGAAATGAGTCCAATGAGTTTTAAAAAGTAAAACAAAACGCGTGTGTCCTCCATAAACTCCTCTGTTTTGCTGCAGCAGGGTGCATCCAATTTCTAAAATCAACCGTCTTACACTTCACCTCTCTTTCTTATCATTCATATAGTCATTGAAAAATTACCCTAAGTGCATTTTAAATTATCTTAAATGTATTATATGTATGTTAGCTAAACCTTAGCAGATGAACCAGGAAGAGAAAGGAGCTTATCGATGGAATTGTATGCAGCCGACTTCTGCGCTCACATGAGCTCCTCTGAGGCCTCACAGGGATACAAGCCGTGGTTGAGCGCGATTAAGACCCATATTTGTTTCAAAAAACAATTTATGAGCCATCCTCTCAACTGTAGACATGTGGATTGTAAAGGAAATATGTTTTACATCAGCCAATAATTGCTGAGAGGTTTTCTCATCCTCCCTTCTCTCATGACAACACGTTCATTGTGCGTCTTGAGTAACGCGCAGTAACGGGATGTCGGAAATGATAACGGCGTTATAGTTACAGTCAAAGTAATTAGTTAGATTACTCGTTACTGAAAAAAGTAACGGCGTTAGTAACGCCGTTATTCCCATCACTGGGTCTGAGGGACAGGGCAGGTCTGAGGGACAGGGACAGCAGGTCTGAGGGACAGGGACAGCAGGTCTGAGGGACAGGGCAGGTCTGAGGGACAGGGACAGCAGGTCTGAGGGACAGGGACAGCAGGTCTGAGGGACAGGTACAGCAGGTCTGAGGGACAGGGCAGGTCTGAGGGACAGGGATAGGGAACGGGATGTCGGAAATGATAACGGCGTTATAGTTACAGTCAAAGTAATTAGTTAGATTACTCGTTACTGAAAAAAGTAACGGCGTTAGTAACGCCGTTATTCCCATCACTGGGTCTGAGGGACAGGGCAGGTCTGAGGGACAGGAACAGCAGGTCTGAGGGACAGGGACAGCAGGTCTGAGGGACAGGTACAGCAGGTCTGAGGGACAGGGACAGCAGGTCTGAGGGACAGGGACAGCAGGTCTGAGGGACAGGTACAGCAGGTCTGAGGGACAGGGCAGGTCTGAGGGACAGGGACAGCAGGTCTGAGGGACAGGGACAGCAGGTCTGAGGGACAGGGCAGGTCTGAGGGACAGGGACAGCAGGTCTGAGGGACCGGGCAGGTCTGAGGGACATGGACAGGGCAGGTCTGAGGGACAGGGCAGGTCTGAGGGACAGGGCAGGTCTGAGGGACATGGACAGGGCAGGTCTGAGGGACAGGGCAGGTCTGAGGGACAGGGACACATGCAGACGGGCACCGCACCGTCCGCATGTGCTTTGAATGCAGTAATTTCAAAGTATTTAGCCTTTTCTCAAACATTAATTGTGATGGATGTCCACCTCGTTTCTTTGTTCCTTTTAAATAACAAAACAGACAGTTTTAAGTTCAAATCCTCTCCACATACAAATGAAAAATCAGCAGTGTTGTGCGTGAATGAGTTCAAAAGAACGCGTTCATTGAACACGCTCATTTTTTCGTGAACGTTGAACTGAACGCAACACATTTTTAAAAAAAAGAACTTGAACGTGAATTAGTTCATTTTATGTGTCATGAACGGCAAACATCACTATGAATGTTGGAATCTGTTTTCTCTTTTGAAACGCAACGAGAGAAAGTTCCTCCCTCCTGTATTCTCGCACTTTTTCCGCCAAAATCGAAAAATTCCTACGGTTTCCCCCGTCTGTGAACGCACCCCGACTCCGTGTTGCGGTGCGGCGCTGTGAGCTGGTGCTTTTCACATGTGCCCGAGTCGTGATGAAAACACAGGGTGAGTTAGCGACAAAGTTTACACCGTTTACATTTGACATAAAGTATAGACACACGCACTGCAGCGCATTACTGTCTGTAGTTTATGAGCAGAGATGGAGCCACTCTGTTTGGCTCCCATTGAAAACCATGTAAATCTTGTCTGTTTTGTAGTCAAAAGACTCTCCTCCTGTGGGTGTACAGGATATATATTACATATATATATATATATATATATATATATATATAATTAAAAAAAATATATATATATATAATTTAAAAAATTATATAGCTCGTAGTGTGAAAAAAAGTATTTATTTGACTTTCACGAAAAAAGTTAAATGAACTGAACTTTGAACTAGTTCAGAATTAAAAATGTGAACTTTGAACGTGAACTGTTCACTTTGAGCATGTATGAACTGAACTTGAACTAGTTCAGAAAAGCTGTGAACTGGCACAACACTGAAAATCAGTAATATTGCTTCACTTAACCTCGCGCTCAAAGTTATACAAGATACACGTTATTATAATAACGTATCTTGGATCACTGAAATCAATTCCAGACACCTGTGATAATTAGTTTGCCAGATGAGCCCAATTAAGGAAAAACTACTTAAGAAGGGCGTTCCACATTATTAAGCAGACAACCATTTCCAAGCAATATGGGAAAGAAAAAGGATCTCTCTGCTGCCGAAAAGAGTGAAATAGTTCAATGCATTGGACAAGGTATGAAAACCTTAGATATTTAACGAAAACTGAAGCGTGATCATCGTACTGTTAAGAGATTTGTGGCTGATTCAGAGCACACACGGGTTCGCTCTGATAAAGGCACGATGAGGAAGGTTTCTGCCAGACAAAAACATCGGATTAAGAGAGCAGCTGCTAAAATGCCGTTGCAAAGTAGCAAACAGATATTTGAAGCTGCTGGTGCCTCTGGAGTCCCACGAACATCAAGGTGTAGGATCCTCCAGAGACTTGCAGCTGTGCGTAAACCTATTCGGCCACCCCTAAACAATGCTCACAAGCAGAAGCGGCTGCTGTGGGCCCAGGAATACATGAAGACTAATTTTCAAACAGTCTTGTTCACTGATGAGTGCCGTACAACCCTGGATGGTCCAGATGGATGGAGTAGTGGATGGTTGGTGGACGGCCACCATGTCCCAACAAGACTAAGACGTCAGCAAGGGGGTGGCGGAATCATCTTTTGGGCTGGAATAATAGGGAGAGAGCTGGTCGGTCCCTTTAGGGTCCCTGAAGGTGTGAAAATGACCTCTGTAAAGTATGTGGAGTTTCTGACTGACCACTTTCTTCCATGGTACAAAAAGAAGAACCGTGCTTTCCGTAACAAAATCATATTCATGCATGACAATGCACCATCTCATGCTGCAAGGAATACCTCTGCATCATTGGCTGCTATGGGCATACAAGGAGAGAAACTCATGGTGTGGCCCCCATCCTCCCCTGACCTCAACCCTATTGAGAACCTTTGGAACTTCCTCAAGCAAAAGATCTATGAAGGTGGGAGACAGTTCACATCCAAACAGCAGCTCTGGGAGGCTATTCTGACATCCTGCAAAGACATTCAAGCAGAAACTCTCCAAACACTCACAAGGTCAATGGATGCAAGAATTGTGAAGCTGCAATCAAATTGTTACTGCTAGTTCAGCCAGGTTTCCTTAAACAGTAGCCCGATGAAAGAATGGAAACTACAAACTTAGATAGATATAAAAGAAGGTTTAATATATAAAACAGAATACATATAAAAGACAGGCAGAGAGAAAAGCCTGGGTCTGCGCGGACGAGAGGCAAAGCACAAAAGACCACGCTAATAGTTAGGCCTCGCCTCTTATACCAAAAGGATTTAAAACACATGTGACAATATGAGCTATTGAACTCTAGGTTAGAAAACAATCTTCTCTTCCATCAGAAGTGTCTTCTTGTATGAGACCAACTCAACCCAGATGTTTTCTGGCTTCATGCTTGTTTACTCTTCTCGTCTTTCACTCTTGCCTGGGGGCTGAAAGAATTCTGCATTCTCGCCACCCTCAATGCATGAGTTGGTTAACTTGACTAGACCCTTCTAATCTACACACATTTATTAATATGATAATACACATAACATTTCTTGACATCTCCCCCCTGTTTATAATTTAATAAATGAACCATTCAACATCCAGTAGTACATCTCTTCTCAGTTTTCTGTAATACCTTCATAATAAACTTACACTCAGAGGGAAATGTCAAAATCATTATTTACAATTGTGTGAGTTAACAACGCTTGGCATTGATCTGAATACAGGGTATCAGCTACTGCTGTCTTAATCATTTTGCTGGTTAAAGACTTAGCACATGGCAACAAACAAGTTACAAATATGCAAAATAAAACCAAAATCATTATTGCAGGTGTTGCTATCTTCAATATCAGTTTCCACCATGCACCAGTAGAAAACCATCACAATAAGTCCCAATTCATGTTGGCACTGTCTCGTTCACTTAACATTTTTATTAGTTTTAAAACCTTTTAATTGATCCAAAATTAGTGAATAATTTGAGTTGGATGATGGAATGAACGTACAACAGTGATCTTTAATTAACTGACACACACCCCCAGTCTCGGATAAAACAAAGGCTAATGCTACTCGATTCTGCATGATCATTTGTCGCATAGCCTCCTTCTCTGGATCTGTACTGATTTGTTCAGCAAGGTCCATGACAATATTAGTCAAATTTTCCAAATTCCATGCTATATCATTCATCCTACGACCTAAATAAGCAACTCCATACATGGGAAGGGCTGTCATGAGCACTCCTCTGACAAGCGGAGACATGAGTCTGAGCAGGAGGATTGGGGGGTTCCCTGGAACTGTCTGCAGGGGGCATGGTGACGACAGTCACTGTGCAGTCCTTACTGCCTGCTGTGAGCGATGGTATTACCCCCAGCACTTCAGCCTTGTCTGAGGCAACACCTCCTCACACTCGCAACCAGGAGTGGAGGGCGTTCGCGACCTCATCACCGCTCCTCGACCTCTGAGACAAAACACCGCACTCCCTCTTGGACGGGCGTCCCTGATCTTCCTCGCGCTCCACCGAAGGTCCTGCAGCAGGGAATCCCACGGGGCCCTTGTGAAAAATCACAGTGACGTCGGCCATGAAAAATGAAAATGTCTTCATATATTCCTGTACAGGCCACCACAGTCCAATGTTGCATTTTATTGAACCATTATACTGAACTACATTCATTTCGTGTTGCACAGAGAATTTTTGATAGTTTATTATTACAGGTGATTTTAATGTACATGTTGAAGAATGTTGAATGACAGAAATGCAAAGAGCTGGCTTCTGTACTTGAGACTTTGGTTTACATTCAGCACAATGATTGGCCACCACCCACATGCAGGGGCACACCCTTGACCTCTAATTACAAAGGGGGTTAATGTATGAACAAAAGTTAGATGTAGTTGAAGTTTTTATTTGGGGCTTGTCAGATCATTTCTGTTGTATATTTTTGACATGAAGTTTTTGCTAGCAAACCACCACTGAAATTTACAATTGCTAGAAGAAGACACATACATGAAAACACGCGGTGAACTGTTCATGGGAATGCTAAATTTTGAGAAACTCCATGCTCTACTGTTTGATGAATTGTATAACTCAGTCACGCACCAGATGTTCTGAATGTTCTGGACGCCATTGCTCCCTGTGACTGTATAAAAATAGTTTTCCCAGTCAGAACAAGGCCCCATGGACAAAGGCAGACTCGGTCAAGCACACCAGAAGCAAGAGTGCCGGAGGGCCTAACGTAAGTGGCGAAAGTCCCAATTTCCAGGGCGATTATGAAATCTTTAAAGATGATTGGGTGAAGTTAACCGGGTTCTACGAATAACAAGAGAATGTATTTTTCTCTGACATTATTGGAGGTTGCTAAGTAACAATTTTCCCGTGTTATGTTTTCAACAGTTGGTAGATTAACGAACCCCCTGTAAAGTTGCCCCTAGAATTTTCCTCTAAATCTAGGTGTAATGAGTTCGCACAGTTTTTCGATGAACACAGTACAAGGAAACAAAACACTATCAACTCCACCAGCACGTATAACAATGCAACAGCCCCAGAGAAGCTTTTTGAGCAAAACTCACTTGCACCTGAGGGATACAGAAACTTGTCAAAAAGATAATCATGATCTGAGCTCCTCCACATGTAGCCTGGATAATATTGCCTCTAAATTTCTGAAAGTCCGTTCCTGACAGTTTAGTTACCTTCACTGACACAAATAGTAAACATGTCTCAGTCGTCAGGAACCAATTTCCTATGGCCCTAAAGCAGCAGTCATAAGACCTCTCCTAAAAAAGAGCAGTCTGGATCCTGCTGGACTCCAAAATTATCCGCCCCATAATCGAATCTGCCATTCATTGGAAAAATATCTGAAAAAGTGGCCTCCCAACAACTTAATGAAATATTTAACAATGAATAATTCTTTTGATATGTTCCCAGTCTGGGTTTTTA